CTCNATCCCAAGCGCTCAACGAGCAGGGAACGAGAAGAGATCGAGCAGTGCAAGTGGGACGCAGCCCATTCAGATCTCACAGTCATCGCTCGAGAACGCTGCGTGGATTGGCCAGCAGCCTCGTGCAAAGTCACAAGCAGCTCCTGTCTCCGTGCGCCAGCTCGTCGAGAGCTCGGATAAGCAAGCACAGATAAGCAAGCGCAGACGATGGCGACGTTCGTGCCCCTGGGCAAGGCCAAGTCCTTCGACAGCCGCGGCTTCGCGTCGTCCAAGAAGTTCGTGCCCCTGGCGGCGTCCGGCCGCGCCAACACGTTCACGGGCGACGAGGACTCGATGACGTTCCTGCGGCGGCGGCTCACGCGCTTCAACGCGTCCTTCGAGGGCGAGGACGCGGCGGCGCGGCCGCGCGCGCGCGCGCGGTCCGCGGAGCGGAGCCGCGAGGTCGTCGCGGTCGTCGACGCGTTCTCGACGGGCGCGTGCGTCGCCGCCGAGGCCGCCGCGCGCGGCTACGGCATATTGCACGTGTTGTCGCTCGAGCCGTCCGACGAGCTCGCGGCGATGGTGCCCGCGCACCTCCGCGGCGCGCTGCCCTGGGCGGGCGAGTTTTCGGTGGACACGGCGGCGCCGCTCGAGGCGGGCGCGGCGCGGCTCGCGTCGCAGCTCCGGGCCTTCTGCGCCGGCCGCGAGCTCGCGCTCGTCGGCGTCGTCGCGGGCGCGGAGACGGGCGTCAAGCTCGCGGACTGCCTCGGCGACGCCGTCGTCGCGGGCGCCTGGGCGCCGGGCGTCCGGAGCAACGGCGCCGCGGGCGTCGAGGCGCGGCGCAACAAGTGGGACATGGGCGAGAAGGTCCGCGGCGCGGGCGTGCGCGCCGTGCGCCAGCTCCGGTCCACGGGCTGGGACGCGGACCTCGAGCGGTGGCTCCGCGACGACTGGCGCGTCGATCCCGCGGACGCCGCGGCGCCCGTCGACTTGATCGTCAAGCCGACGGAGTCCGCGGGCTCCGACGGCGTCACGGGCTGCAAGACCGTGGGCGAGGTGCGCGCGGCCGTGGGCGCGCTCGTCGGCGCGATCAACGGCCTCGGCCAGAAGAACGAGGAGGTGCTCATCCAGGAGTTCCTCCGGGGCGACGAGTACATCGTCGACGCCGTGAGCCGCGACGGCGTCCACAAGGTCGTGGGCATGTGGCTCTACGACCGCAAGCCGACGAACGGCGCGGGCTTCGTCTGCCACGGCCAGCGCTTCATGGCCGCGGACGAGCCCGTCGTCGGCCTCCTCGTGGCCTACGCGGAGACCGTGCTCGACGCGCTCGAGTTCCGCCACGGGCCGTCCCACATGGAGGTCAAGCTCGTGCCCGGCTCCGAAACGCCCTGCCTCGTCGAGGTCGGCGCGCGCTGCCACGGCGCCGAGGGCTTCTGGATCTCCGTCGCCGACGAGTGCGCGGGCACGAACCAGGCGCGCGCCGCGCTCGACGCCTACGTCGACGCCGGCGCCTTCGCCGCGCTCGCGCCGCTCCCGCCGGCGCCCCTGCTCGCGTCGGGCACGATCAAGTTCCTGCTGGTCCACGAGGACGGCACGCTCGACAAGATCGACGACGCCGTCGTGCGGCGCATCAAGGCGCTCGCGTCCTACCGCGGCTACGAGATCTTCGTCGAGGCCGGCAAGAAGGTCGAGGCGACGCGGAACTGCTTCTCCTGGGGCGGCGTCGTCAAGCTGAACCACGCCGACCCCCAGCAGGTCCTCGACGACTACGCGTTCCTCGACGCGATCTGCCTGCCCGGCGGCGGCCTCTGGACCATCTCCGCCTGAGCGCGTCACCCCCTCCTTTCTAAACTAAGTGTTCTCCCTGAGGAGGTCGAGCGCGTCCGCCGTGTAGACGCCGCCCCAGGAGCTCCGCGCCTCGATCGCCGCGGCGTCCGGGGTCCGCAGGAACGGCGCGACGCCCTGGCGGACGAGGTCGAAGAGGCGCGCGAGATCCTCCGCGGAGACCTGGCCGCCGTGGTCCTCGTCGATCGTCCTCGCGAGGTAGGCGCACGCGTCGTCGACGGCCTTGTTCCTGTCGAGCGCGCGAGCTTCGACGGGCGGCGGCGCGAGCGGCGGCTCCGGCGCGAGCGGCGGCGCCGGCGCGAGCGGCGGCGGCGACGCCGTAGTCCGCGGCGGCGCGGCCGGCGTCGCGCCCGAGCCCTTGACGGCGGTCGCCACGAGCTCCAGCGCGTCCGTCAGGTGCACGCCGCCCCAGCTATTCCTGTAGTCGATGCTCTCGCGGCTCGGCATCTGCAGGCCGGCCGTCAAGGCGCGGTGCGACGCCCAGAGGTCGCGAAAGACCGCCTCGAGGTCGTCGGGCTCGAGCTGGCCGCCGGAGCCGTCGTACGCGATCGTTGTTAAAGCTTCGAGCGAGACGGCCATTGCGTCTCGGCAGCGCGGCTCTCAGGTCGCAAAGCGGGCCTCTTTGGAGCTACGCCCTCCCACCCTGCGCAAAGCGGTGCATCTTGACCTGCTCCTTGGATCGAAGGGGTCGATGTTGCGGATGCTTCGGACGAGTTCCCTAATCGCAGGCAGCCCCTGTCGGCCGACACAAGCCAAAGCACCTCGGCATGGAGGCGCGCCAGTACTACACGATGGAGGAGGAGGGCGAGCCCCTCGTCGCCGCCACCCGCGCGCCCTACGGCAAGTACGCCGTCGCGACGGCCCTCGTCATGCTCGGCGCGACGTCGGCCCTCGCGTCGTCGAGCCGGTCGGCGGCGCTCTTCAGCACGGGCGGCGCGAGCGCCGCGGCGTCGAAGGTGCGCGTCGCCGCCTACGCCGACTGCCTGTGACCCGACTGCCGCCGGCACGCCATGTCCCTCAACGACGTCATGTTGAAGAACGCGGACGTGCTGGAGGCGATCGACCTGACCGTCGACTTCTTCGGGAACGAAGCGTCCGTCGCGGAGCACGGCGGGGTGCTGCTGGAGGTCAACGAGGCCCTGCTCTCCCTGCAGGCGACGCTGCCCCAGGGCGAGTGGTGGCCGACGACGTCGTGCATGTTCGGCATGCAGGCCTGCCTGACGAACGCGGGCGCCGAGGGCATGTCGTGCGGCCAGGCGGAGGCGGCCGCCGACGACGACCTCCTGCTCGCGGGGCCCGAGAAGGACGCCGCCGACGCCCTCGCGGCCTGCGAGTGCAGCCTCGACGGCGTCGCGGACACGTGCGCCGCGCTCCACGCGTCGACCGCGTGGTCCGCCGTCAAGGCGGCCGCGGACGTCAAGGGCCTCGCCAAGGCGTCGTCGGCCCGCGCCGTCGCCGCCGACGGCGGCGCGACCATGTGGGTCACGATCGACGGCGAGCGCTACGTCTACGAGGAGGGCGGCGCCTACGGCGGCGCGAACACGGAGCTCGGCTTCGGCGCGTGGGCGGCCCGCGTCTTCGGCGTCACCTGCCAGGCCATCGTCGCCAAGGGCCAGGCCGCGCCGGAGTCCTGCGGCGCCTACCTCGCCTAGGCGCGCCCCGCGGGGCCGGCGCCGACCCAAGACCGCCGGCCGACGCGGATCGAGACCGGCGCGCGCCGCGCCCCGGCCGTCCGAAGGAGCGTCCATGACGGCCGCCGGCGCTCCCCTCGCGGGAGCGCCGCGCGGACCCGAACAACGCCCTTCGACGCCGGGGTCGCGGCGCCGCCGCCTCGCGCCGCGCGGCCGGGCCCGGAGCCGCCCGCGAAGCCCGCCCACCCCCGCTTCCCCTCTTTCCCGGTATATGTTGTGCTCTATTTTGCGGCGAGAGACGTGCGAGCTAAGTCACGAGCTTTCGCGGTCCGCCAGGGTGGTTGCTTGAAGGCAACTGTGGCTGAGTAGGCTCTGAGTAGGCGTCTGAGTGGATACAAAACAGCACCTTTGGTCGTAGTGGACAAAATGGAGTGAAGGTGCGCGCAGCGTGCGCCTGGCTCGGGGCAATCAGGCGCCGCTTGAATTTTCTTCGCGGACCACGATCTCGCTGAGTTATGCGCTGTTAAGTGTGTGTACAGGCGCTTCGGCGACGCCGAAGCGCCTCGCCGGCCGACGCTTCCAGCGCTTCGGCGCGCGACGCGGCCGCCGTGTCGACGCGCGCAGCGCTGTCAACCGCTGGCGCGGCCACGCCCTACCTCTGGGCCCCTCTGGGAGTGATTTCCGCGGCCGCTGCGCGACGGATCTCGTCGGGGAAGACTTGTTCGACGGAGACGCTCTCGCATCGAATCGGCGCGAGTTTCGCTCGACTGTGTGGTGCTGCGACGACGAGCCCGAGACGTTTGGAGAGGCCTACGACCTACTCTCGACCCACGGCCGACGCTACGACACGGTCTACGTCCTGTTTGGACTGCATCTCGTCGCTCCGCAACCGACCGTGCTGGGCCCCGCCCCTGAAATGGGCCCTTTCCGGCATCACTGCGTCGCCGCGCGACGCGCGAAAGGGCGTCCAGCGCGCCCGCGCACCGTCCCCGACCCAGACGCGTCCAGGATGGCCAGGGGACGCCCGGGGGAGGTCCGTAATGACAGCTAGCATGAGCAAAACTTTGGCGTCCATTTGCTCGAAATCGCCCCCGGCTGCTAAGGTGCTGTTTTGTATCCGCTCAGCCCAATTGGCTCAGCCACAACTTGATGCAGAGCGCATGGCCATGGCTTTGCGCCTTTGCATCGCAGTTCTGCTCGGCTTGAGCATCACCACAGCGTTCGTCGTCGCGCCGCCGCGCGCCTTGCCGCGCCTTCGTCGCGCGACGGCGGACGACGACGCCGTCGTGCCGGAGGTCATCGTCCCCACGCCAGATAATGATCGGCGCATGTGGGAGCGCCGCACGCGGCTCAAGGGCTACTACCGCGAGGAGCTGGGCGCCGTGCCGGCCGCGGGCGCGGGAGGCGACGTGGCGCCCATCATCGACGTGGAAGTGTCGCCCGCCGGCGGCGCGGCGGCCGTCGACGCCGCGGCCGTCGCCGCGGCGGCGGCGCCCGCCGGCGGCGCGGCGGCCGTCGACGCCGCGGCCGTCGCCGCGGCGGCGGCGCCCGCGAAGAAGCAGTCGCTCGTCGCGCGCATCGGCGAGAGCGGCGCGCTGAGCTACGTGGGCATCAACGTCGTCTGGTACTCCGTGGGCGTCAACGTCTTCCTCTACGGCATGCCGCTGGCCACGGGCGGCGGCCTGAGCCTCGCGGCGAAGCGCTTCGGGGCCGCCTGGGGCCTCTGCTTCGTCGCGTCGCAGTGGTCCGCGGCGCTCCGCATGGGGCTCGCCGCGGCGCTGGCGCCGACGACCGCCAAGATCCTCGCGGCGCTGCGGCGGCGGCTGCCGTCCGGCGCGCCGCGCTGGGTCGCGCCGGTCCTCGCGCTCGCGGGGCTCGTCGCCGCCTTCGCCGCCAACGCCGCCGCGGCGCTGCTCCGCGAGGTCGTCCGCGTAAGCGCGGTGGCGTAGTTTTATCTGGGGATCAAGTGGGGGGGGGCGCGGATCCGGCCTCAGTCCGACTCGCCGTCGCTGTCGTCGTCGGCGCTGGACGCGGACGCGCGGCGCGCGGGCGTGGACGCGCCCGTCGTCGTCTGGAGGCGGCTGCGGAAGCGCGAGAGGTAGTCGTCGGTCGCCGGCTTGGGCCGCGGCGCCTTCTCGGGCGACGACCCGGACTCGTCGGACGCGTCGTCGGACTCGTCGTCGTCGTCGTCGGACTCGTCGTCGTCGTCGGGCTCCGACGTGTCGTCGTCGACGGACTCGTCGTCGGCGGACTCGCTCTTCGCGGGCGACGCGCGCCGCGGCGGCGACGGCGCCTCCGCGGGCTCCTCCGGCGCCGGCGTTGGGTCCTCCTCCTTGCGCCGCGATATGGCGAGCTCGAAGGGCGTGAGGGCCTTGGGCGGCGTCGGGTCGCCGAAGGGGTCCTCGCCGAAGGGCGACGGCGAGAAGGCCGCGTCGTCGGCGGCCGGCGGCGGCGCCTTGCCCGGCGTGAGCCGGACCTCGGGCGGCGCGCCGAAGGGGTCCGCGAAGGGTTCGGAGAAGGACGACGCGCCGGGCGTCGGCGCGTCGTCGGCGGCCTCGAGGGACGCGCCGCCGATGGACGCGCGGTCCTCCTCGAGCGAGTCGCCGCCGATGGACGCCTCGTCGAAGTCGTCGGGCGGCGCGACGGACTCGAAGCGCGGCGGCTCGTCCTCGCGGAGCTCCGGCGACGGCTCCGGCGACGGCTCCGGCGACTCGTCCTCCTCCTCGGACGACTCGTCGTCGTCGTCGTCGTCGTCGTCGTCGTACATGGCGCCCGTCGGCGCCGTGTCCAGCGGCGTGAACGACGCGTCCGGCGCGGGCCGCTCGGGCGAGAGCAGCGGGTACGCGACGTCCACCGGCTCCGGCGCGGGCGACGGGGGCTTCGGCGCGGGCGCCGCGGCGGGCGGAGACGACGCGGGCGGCGGCGACGACGCGAGCGGGGGGGAGAAAGCGGCCGGCGGCGACGCCGCGGGCGGCGGGGAGGAAGCGGCCGGCGGCGGCGACGCCGCGGGCGGCGGGGAGGAAGCGGCCGGCGGCGGCGACGCGGCGGGCGACGCCGCGGGCGACGCCGCGGGCGACGCCGCGGCGGACGGCGGCGACGCCCGGTCGAAGGCCGCGGCGACGCGGTGCCGCGGCGGCGACCCCCGGGGGCTCCGCGCGGGGCTCTCGGGCCGCGCCGGCGGCGCGACGGGCGTCGGCGCCGGCGCCGGCGCCGCCGCCGCGGGCACGGGCGGCGGCGCGGCGGCGGCGGCGCCGCGCGGCGGCGGCGGCCACGCGCTCCGCTCCTGCTCGAGGACCTTGGCGGACACGAGGCGCACGGCCGCGGAGACGTCGTCGACGCGGAGCGCGAGCGTCGAGAAGTCCTCGACGAGGCGGCCCACGCGCGTGCCCGTGGACCGGAGGCGGTCGCCGTCGTCGCGGTGCGCGCGGTCGCCGTCGTCGAGGCGCCGCTCGAGGTCCGCGAGCAGGCGCCGCGCGTCCGCGTCGACGGCGTCGCCGCCGCGGAACGCCGCGCCGTCCGGCGCGGCGCCGCGGGGCGAGAGCGCGTCGCCGCCCGCGGACTCGAGGGCCGCGACGCGCGCCAGGGCCCGGTCGACCTTCGGGGGCACGTCGTCGAGCGCGCGCGCGGCCGCGAGCGCGCGGCCCGCGTCGTCCGCGGCGCGCGCGGCCGCGTCGCCCGCGCCGTCGACGCCGCGCCGGAGCGCCGTGAGCTGCGTCTCCAGCGCGTCGCGCACGTCCGCGAGCACGCCGTCGACGTCGCGCGCGGCGTCGCGGCGCTGCGTCTCGCGGTCCTCGGCGGCGGAGTGGATCTCGGAGACGCGCTGTTCGAGCTTGGAGAGCCGCGCGGGCGCGACCTGGGCGGGAAACATAAAACGCATGTATTTTTCGACGTGCGTTTTTTCACTGTCCGAAAGGAACTCGCCGAGAGACAAACGATCCGTCCAAAAATCAGCCGAAACGACGTCGATGCGACCGAGAGAGAGCGCTTTTGCTGGACCGGTCCAGGTTCACTGAATGCTTCCGGCACGGGGCGCGACCTCCGCGAGGGCCCCGCGGAGCGCCGCGAGGCCCTCCTCGACCTTGGCGACCTTGGCGAGCGACGCTTTGTCGCCGCCGCCGAGCTCGCCCTTGGCGAGCGCGTCGAGCGCGTCGCCCGCGTCGCCGTCGCGCCACCGCTCGAGGCGGTCGACGCGGCTCCGGTCGCGCGCGGCGCGCTCGTCGAGGTCCCGCAGGCGCGCGCACTTGGCGTCGACGGCCTCGAGTTTCTGCTCGACCTTGTCGACCTTGGCGACCAAATCGCCGGCCTTCTTCACGGCCGGCGCGTCCTCGGCGTACGCGCGCGCGGTCGTCTTCCAGACGCCCATCTTCTCCGTCAGCGCACTCGTCGCCTTCTCGCAGCGGCTCAGGCCCCGCCGCAGCTCCGCGCGGTCGTCCCGGAGCTCGCCGACGCGGTGCTCGAGCGCGCCGTAGAGCTCGGACCGGAGGCCGTCGAAGCGCTCGCGGCCCGCGGCCGTCTCGCCGGACAGGGCCGCGCGCACGGCGTGGGTCTGCTGCACGACGGCGGACAGGCGCTCGTCGAAGGCCTCGCGCGCGGCCTCGACGTCGGCGTCGAGGCGCTTCGACGTCTGCTCCGCGGTCCGCTCGAGCTCGGCCGTCTTGTCGTCGAGGCGGCGGACGCTCTCGCGCGCGGCGTCGACGTTGGCGACGAGCGTCGCCACCGCCCGGTCCACGGCCGCGGCCGTCCCGTCGTCCTCGGGACCCCCCGGGGCGCCCGCCTTGCGCAGCGCGGCGACGCGGGCCTCGAGCGCGTCCTCGAGGTCGCGCGCGGTTCGCCGCGAGCTCTCCGCGGCCTCGGCCCGGAGCTCGTCGCGGAGGGACGCGCCGAGCTTCGCCTCGAGGCGCGCCTCGGCCTTGGCGACGGCCGTCGCCACGGCGGCCTCGACGGCGAACTCGAGGGGCGCGGCCGCCGCGGCGGCCGCGGCGCGGTCGTCGCCCGCCAAATCGTCGCCCGCCGCGAGCCTCAGCGCCGCGACCTGGCGCCGGAGCGCCTCGAGCTCGCCCTCGACCCGCGCCTGCACGGGCGAGATCGCCGCCGACGCCGCCGCCGCCGCGCGCTGCTTCGCCGCGTCGAGCACGCCCGCGAGCTCCGCGCGCGACCTGCGCGGCGCAAGGGTGAAAGGCTCCTATCTGAGCCGGTTTTCCCCCTCGTTTCGGCTGATCTTTGGACGAGCGCTCATCTCTCGGAGCGCTCTCAAAGCGCGCATGCGTGCTCCGGAACGCGCGCGCGCGGAACGCCCGCGTTGAAGCGACGTCGAATCACCCGTCCGCGGCGCCGCGCGCGACGCCGCGCGCTTCACGGCCGCGGCGACGTCGCGGACGGCGACGTCGGCCTCGGCGCCGCGGCCCGCGGCGACCTCGAGGGCCGCGTCGACGCGGGAGCGCCACTGCTCGGCGTCGGCCTGCCAGGCCATCATCTTCGACGACGCGCCCTTGCGGCTCTGCGACTCGCGGCCGAGCGCTTCGACGGCGCTGTCGCGGCCGCGCGCGGACTGGACCGCGTGCGTCGTCGACGCGCGCAGCTGGGCGACCTCCTCCTCGAGCTGGCGCAGGCGGTCGCCGCCGCCGGCCGGGGCGCACGCGCCGCCGAGGCGCTCGACGACGCGCGACACGATGCTCTCGACCGTCGCGTCGTCGAGCGCGCCCGCCGCGCCGCGCCGCGGCGTCGCCGCGAGGGCGCCCTCGAGGCGCCGGCCCGACGGCGGCGCGGGCTCCTCGAAGGAGTCGCGCGCCCAGCTCGACGCGCCGCGGCTCGGGGCGCCGCCGAGGCGCCGCTCGGGCCGGGCGGACCGCTGCGGCGAGTAGCGGCTCGACAGCGCCGACAGGTTCGCGTTCGTCCGCTCGATGATCCCCGACAGCTGCGCCTCCCATTGCTGGTGGCTCAGGGAGCTGCTCATTATCCTTCTCGCGTCTGAAGCAACAGACGACGCTGCCCAACCAAACTTAAATTCCACACCGACAAACCTAAACTGCACGCCGGGGGCAACTTTGGGGAAACTTTGGCCTGGCCGGGCAGTGCTGGAGCTTGGCCTGTCTCGAGCTGTCGAGGGCTCGAGCTCGGCCTGTCCCCGAGCTGCCGAGACCGCTGCGCGCTCTTCGGACCGTCTACGACATGTGGCGCCTCGCGCCGCTGGTGGCGGCGGCCGGCGCCCTGAGCGTCGGCGACGTGGCGCCGGCCTTCTCCGGCACGTCCTTCGACGGGCGCACCATCGATCTGAGCTACGCCAAGCAGACGGAGAAGGGCTTGATTATCTGGTTCTACCCGCGCGCGGGCACGGGCGGCTGAACCAAGGAGGGCGAGAACTTCGAGCGGCTGCGCGAGCAGTTCAAAGAAGCCGGCTACGCGATCGCCGGCTGCTCGACGGACCCGCCCGAGTTCAACCGCAAATTCGCCGAGGAGCACGACTTCGGCTACCCGCTCATCTCGAATGGGGACGACGTCATCAAGGCCTTCGACAGTTGCAAGCAGGCCGCGTGCTCGTCGGCCAAACGGACGACCGTCGTGATCTCGCCCGACGGCCTCGTCGTGTGGCGCGAGGACCCGTTCGACGCCGCCGACGGCCCGGACGAGCTCCTCCAGCGGCTGACGGGCCAGGGCGGCGCGTCGCCGTCGAAGAAGCGGAAGAAGCACCTCCGGGCGCACGGCGCCCACGAGTCCGCGCACCACTCCGGCGAGCACCGGAATGCGCGCGCCTAGGAGCCGAACCGCGGCGCGACATGACGGCGCCGCGCGGGCACCGTGCCCGCGCGGCGCCCGAAGAGTCGCCGCGGCGCGGTTACTAAGGGCATGGTATTGTGAGCTTCTTTTCACGACATCAACATCTTCAAGTTGAAGGGATAGATCCTTGCCTAGTGGCAAAAATGCGCCCCCTCTCATCCCGCCGCTGGCGCCACCCGCACCATGGACAGCATGAAGAAGATGGCCAAGGCCAAGGCGATGGACATGGGCATGAAGGCCATCCAGGACCCGAAAGTGCAGAAGGCCGTCGTCGACCAGGTGAAAAAGGACCCCAAGCTCGCCATGGACATCGGCAAGAAGATGGTCTCCGAGGCCATGAAGACGAAGAAGTGATGGGGCCCGCGCCCCGTCGACGGCGCGGCGGCGCGGCGCTCATCGCGCTGCTCCTGGTCGCGCCGGCCCGCGGCGTCGCCGTGCCGCGGCGGGCGCTCGCGGCCGCGCCCGCGGCGGTCGGCGCGGCGGCGGCGGCGGCGGCGCTCGACGCGCTGGCGCCGCTCGGCGGCATCGGCTCCGGCTTCGACCTGTCCGCCGCGCCGGCCGCCGCGCTCGCCGGCGACACGCTCTTCCCCGCGTCGCTCGTCGGCGTCTGGGAGGTGAAACGCTTCGTCGCCGACGTCCAGGGCGACGCGGGCCAGGCGGAGAACGTCTGGCGCGCGCTGGGCGGCGGCGGCGACTTCCGGGGCCCGGAGACCTACGCGACGCGCTTCGTCGCGCCGCCCGAGAAGCGCGAGTACGAGTTCGAGGGCAAGACCTACGCGGGCGTCGTCCTCGACCGCGGCTTCGAGCTCGCGTCGCGCGGATCCAAGGACGTCGTCTGGGACGCGCGGACGCCCGGCAAGCTCGCGTCGTCAACGACGTCGCTGGCGGTCGTGGAACGGAGCTCCGAGCCGCCGGCCGCCGCGGGCTTCGGCTCGTCGAACGAGCTCCTGCGGCTGACTTCGGGCCCCTTCGTCCGCGCCGCGCGCCGCCAACGTCGCTACCGCCGCGCCTTCGCGGACGACGGCGAGCGCGTCGTCGACGGCATCGAGCTCGTCAAGACCTACCGCGTGCTCGACGGCGTCGCCGGCGTCGAGTTCCCGACGTCGACGACCAAGTCCATCCTGCGCTTCGCGCGGCCGAAGGCGTAAGTTGACCTTCATTCTGTTGGGTTTTCAAAGCGGGCAGCTTCATGATGATGGCGCGGTGTTAAAGCCGGGCAGCTTTCATGATGGCGCGCTGCGTCGCTCTGGGCGCGTGGTTCTGGGCCGCCGGCGTCGCCGCCGCCGACGGCGTGTGTCGCGTCGACGGGAGCGGCGACGCATGTGGGGAACGCGGGCGGTGCTTTCTGGGCGCCTGCGTCTGCGACGCCGGGTCCCGCGGCCGCTTCTGCGAGGTCAGAGACGACGCGGCGCCGGCATGCGGCGGCGACGCGGCGCAGCGCGCGGCGGACGTCGCCGCGTGCGCCGACCACATCGCGCGCCTCGGCCAGCGCTACGGACGCGGGACGGACGCGCGGCGCCGCGCGCACGCGAGGCGCGGGCCCGCGGGCGCGCCGAACGTGGGCCGGAGCAATTCGCCCGGGTCGCCGTGCCGGGCCGTCCTCGCGTCGGTGGACCGGTGCGCCTACCGGCCGGCCGTGGGCACCGTGACCGTGGACCCGGCGCGATGGGCGCTCGCGCAAAAGTTCGAGGCCGAGACGTGGCGCCAGCTCGGGAGCCGGGGCCAGGACCGCGACGAGACGCACCTGCGGAACTACGACGGCTACGCGAGCCTGCTCCCGCGGCGCTTCGAGCGGGCCCTGGACGCAGACGCGGTGGGTGCTCCGGGCGACGGGCGCCGAGGTCGGCCATCTCACGCTCAGCGACCCGCTCCTGGAGACGTACCGCGCAACGGTCCCGAGCTGCTCCTACGCGTCCAACGACTCGCTCGCGGCGTTCTTCCCGACCGTCGGGCGCGTCGCCTACGTCGCCGCGGGCGGCGAGGACCTGCGCGACGGCGGCGGCGCGGTCGCCGTGGACTTTGCGACGGGCGCGCGGGCGCCGGCGGCGTTCCGCGACGCCTACGATCTCGCGGTCATGATCAACGTGCTCGAGCACTGCCGCGACGCGCTCGCGACGCTCCAGAACCTCGTCAACGCGGTCCGGCCCGGCGGCTACCTCGTCCTCGAGGACCGCTACGCGGACTCGCAGTGGCACGCGTACGACGCGGGCGCGTCGCTCCGCTTCCCGGACCGCGACGTCGCGGCGAAGCGCGGCGAGCCGTCCTGGGACGTGGGCCACCCGCTCCAGCCGAAGCGGGCGCTCTTCACGCTGCTCGCGCGCCACTTCGACGTCGTCCACTGGCGCAACAACCTCTTCCCCGAGGAGCAGAGCCCGGACGAGGTCTACTTCATCGGCCGGAAGCGCAAGTCGGACCACGCGGCGACGGACCTCGAGTGGTACGCGGACTGAGCGGCGCGATAACGGTGGTGGTGTGCTCTACTTGAGGTCAAGATGCGGCCGCAAGTAATCACGGGCTCGAGCTTATGCGTCAGCCTTAGCTCTGCGTCGCTCACCGCATCGCTGCATCCCTGCCGCATCGCTGCATCGCTGTCGCATCGCTGCCCAGCCGCATCGCTACATTCATCGCTGCATCGCTGCCGCATCGCCGCGCAGCTTCATCCCTGCCGCATCGCTTCACTGCTGCCGCGTCGCTGCCGCCTGCACACACGGCCATGATCAGCGCGACGCGAGCGCTATGCTGCCTCGCCGCTGCGAGCGCGTGGACGAGGAGCGCGTCGCCGTCGCACCGAGCTGCCCTGCGCGCCGTCACCGAGGGCCACGACGCCGAATCGGACGCGGTCGGGCCGGGGATCTACGGCGGCCGCGTCGAGGTCGACGCGCGCGGCGACGTCGTCATCGGCCAGCAGTTCGAGGAGCACAATCCGATCCCGGGGCCGGTCTACGCCGGCGGCGGCTACACCGACTTTTCCGACGCCGTGCGCTCCGGCGACGAGGAGCGCGTCCGCGCGCTGCTCGCCGCGACGCCGAGCCTCGTCGGCGAGGTGACGACGGGCGCCGCGTCGCCGCTGCACCTCACGGGCATGCTGCGTCGCGCGCATCCCGCCGCCGCGGTGCTCGTGTCCGCGGGCGCCGCGGTGGACGCGAGGGACGCCTGGGGCTACACGCCGCTGCAACGCGCGGCGACGAACAACTGCGCCGAGGCCGCGCGCGTCCTCCTCGCCGCCGGCGCCGACGCGCGCGCGCCGTCGGGCCTCGACGGCGTCGGCGACTCGGCGCTCGCGCTCGCGAAGCGGCTCCGGAGCTACGACGTCATCTTCCTCATGCGGGACCTCGGCATAGAGGACTAGGGCTATCGCGGCGTGTCGGATTGGCCGCCGCGGAGAAGGAGTCTTCGCGCGACATCCCGAGGCATTCGGTGTCGCGAAATGTTGCCGTGTTGAAAGCCTTGTTGATGAGTGGTTGACGGCCTCCAATCGCAGATCGCCGCCGCCGTCGATGGTCTGAGAGATCGCAGTTCTCAAACGCGAAAACACACACGAAGCAGCTCCCAACAGCGAAAAGAGAAGACGATGCGGCGCGGCTCGGACACGACGGTGACCTGGCAGCCGCCGCCGCCGTGGCAGAGCGTCATCGACCAGAACAGCGGGCGGCCCTTCTACCACAACCCGACGACGGGCGAGACGACGTGGACGCCGCCCGGCGAGCTCGGCGGCGTGACCATGGACGGCGTGAAGGACGGCGACCAGCCCAAGATCCCGCAGCCGGACCCGGTCCGCGAGCCGGAGAAGTACGAGGCGTGGAAGAACCTCATGGGGCACCTCGAGGCCGGAGGCGGCGGCGGCAAGGGCGACGGCCTCTGCGGCGACTTCCAGCGGGGCGTCTGCAGCCGCGGCGCCATGTGCAAGTTCTCCCACGGCGAGGGCAACCCGACGCGCTGGGGCCAGGCGCAGGCGTACGGCGGCGTCCCGGGCGACGGCATGTGCAACGACTTCCTCCGCGGCGTCTGCACGCGGGGCGACCGCTGCAAGTTCTCCCACGGCGACACGCCCAAGGGCCCGCCGACGGGCCAGTGGGCCCAGCCGCGCTACGGCGGGCCGCCGGCGGCCGGGGGCCACGCGCAGCGGCCGGCGGGCGCGCGCGACCGGAGCCGGAGCCGCTCCCGCGGCCGCCGCCGCGACCGGAGCCGGAGCCGCTCCCGCGGCCGCCGCCGCGACCGCAGCCGCAGCCGCTCCCGCGGCCGGTCGCGCCGCGACCGGAGCCGCGACCGGAGCCGCGACCGGTCGCGCCGCGACCGGAGCCGCGACCGCGACCGCGACCGTCGCGACCGCTCCCGCGACCGCTCCCGCCGGTAGCTGCGAGCGCTGGGGACCCCTCCGGCGAGTAAGACCCGTCGCAAGCGTATATCGAAACTGCAACATCAAGACCGTGCCGTCAAAGCATCTCGATTGTGCGATGGAGTCCGAGGTCGACGAGTCGCTGGAGGCGTCCTGGGCGCGCTTGCAATCATCGAAGACCGCCGTGAAGCTCGACGTCGCCTACGACCAGACGCGCAGCAGCAGCGGCACCGTCGAGAACGCCAAGGCGCTCGAGCGCAGCCTCGCCCTCGAGTCGCAGGACAAACGCTTGCAGCCCTTCGGCCTCGGCGTCGAGGCCTGCGCCAGCGGCCGCCGGGTCGTCGCGAAACGAGCCTTCGCGGCGGGCGACGTCGTCCTGCGCTGCGCCGCCTTTGCGTCGGCGCTGCTGCCGCGGCACCGCGAGTCGCGCTGCGCCGCGTGCCACGCGCCGCTCGAAAGCCCGAAGCGCTGCGGCGGCTGCAAGGCCGAGTGCTACTGCGACCTGGCGTGCCAGCGCGCGCACTGGAGGGCGGGCCACAAGCGGGAGTGCGCCGGGCTCGGGACGCTGCGGCGCGCGCTCGGCGACGACGAGTCGGAGGTGCTGGACGCGACCGTCGCCTGCCGCGCCGCGCGGCGGCTCGACGCCGCGCCGCAGCCCTCGGGGGACGACGCGACGACGCTCCGCCCGGAGGCCGCGGACGCGCGCGCCACGGTGCTCTTCGCGGGCGGCGAAGCGAGCGCGCGCGGCGCCCGCGTCGCGAAGGCCTGCGTCGACGCCAAGTTCATCCCCGAGGCCGCCGCGACCACCGTCGCGTCCCTCGTCGACGCGGGCCGCCGGAACAACTTCTGCGTCCCCGACGAGCTCTTGGGCGGCGTCGCGGGCTGCCTCTCGCCGCTCGGCGCGCTGCTCAACCATTCGTGCGCGCCGCCGTGCGTCGTCTGCTACGATCGGGGCGTCCAGTGCTTCGTCGCCGCGCGCGCCATCGCGGAGGGCGAGGAGGTCACGCACAGCTACGTGGACCGCGGCGCGACGACGGCCGCGCGGCGGCGGGAACTGATGGAGACCTACGGCTTCCGCTGCGAGTGCGCGTGCTGCGCGGCGCCCTGGGCGGCGAGGGACGCCTTGCTCGAGGGCGCGCCGGATGGCGAGACCGCCGCCGCCTCCACCCCCGGGACCGCCGCGGCGCTGGCTTTGAACGAGCGGCTCCGCGCGGAGGCGACGGCGGTCGACGACGACGACGGCCGCGAGGGCGACCTGCTGGCCGCGGCCGCGGCCGCGTTGGACGGCCGCGTCGCGCGGACGCACCTCGCGGCCGTCGCGACGCTCGAGGCGCGCGCGCACCACGCGCTCGCGACGGGCGACATCGCCGCCGCGCTTCCTCTGTTCGCGGATCTGGCCGCGCGGCGGGACGCGGTCTACGCGCCGCTGCCCCACGCGCGCTGCGCGCTGGACCACCTCACCGTCGCCGAGCTCGCGGGCGTCGCCGGCGATGTGACGCTCGCCGGCGAGGCGCGGGCCCGCGCGCGGGCCCTCCTCGCGCGGACGAACCCGTACCACAGCGAGCTGCAAAATAGGTAGCTCCTAGCCCGCCTTCCGGAACGGGTCCGCGACGTTGAGGATGCCCGTCCAGAGCGCGATGATGGCGACGCGGAACTGGAAGTTGACGTAGACCGCGCGCGCGCCGTGCTCCGCGAGCGCCGTCCGCATGGCCGCGGCCGCGGACGGGATCTCGCCCGTCGACTCGGCGACGCGGCCCGCCGTGAGCGCCGCGTTGTGGAAGAGCTGCGTCGCCAATCCGCAGGCCGCGCCGGCGCCCAACCCGCCCGCGAACTTCGTCGGCGCGTGGGTTTCCGGGTCCGTGCGCAGGAGCCTCGCGAGCGGCGGCGTCACGACGGGCGCGACGACGATGCCGCCGCCGACGGAGCCGCAGTCGCGGAGGAAGGACCAGACGAGGCCCGGCGCGACGTTCCTGCGCCAGAAGCTGTAGGCCGCCGCGCCGGCCGACGCCGCGGTCCCGCCGGGCGCGCTCACGCCGCTGTAGCCGTAGGTGCCGCCGATGATCAGATTGTACTTGGCGGCCATCATCCACGCCGTCGACCCGTAGGACACGCTGAGGTTGTAGGGCGACGGGCCCAGCGCGGCGTCGAGCGCGTCGCGGAGCTCGCGGATGAAGGCGAACTGGAAGCCCGTGATCGCCGTCTGCAGGGGCATCATGCGCGCGGCCATGGCGAGGCGGTGCGCCAGCGGCGCCGGCGGCAGCGGCGTCGCCGTCGGCTGCGACAGGCGCACGACCTGCGGGATCGTGAACTCGATGGCCACGAAGCTGCAGGCCGCCGCCGCGGCGGCGATCTGCGGCAGCACGTCCAGCGTTTTCGTGCGCGGCGCGTCGGCCGTCATGCTGTGCGCGGCGGGACCGGACGCCGCCTTAGGCCTTAGAGCTGGTCGACAGTAATTTTTCACTGGAACTGCAAAAACGTGTTTTGTGGCAAATCGATCGAGCTTGGGGCGGCGCTCCGCCTCTCTATCAGCGGGACCAGACGCGCCGACACGAGGCGCCGACGGGCGGTTCAGGTTGCAGCTCAAGTTGAAGGGCAAAAACTCCTTGTGGCAAAAGAGCTCGAGCTCACGGCAATCCGCGCGCACGATGTTCGTGCCGATGCGGCGCTTCCTCGCGTCGGCACCCCACCGACGTTGGTTGTCGACCAATCCTTGGACGCGTCCCGTCGGCGAAGGCGCGCTGCTCCTGCGCTTCGGCACGGGCATCGACGACGCCGTGAGCCGGCGCGTCCTGGCCTACAAGGCGCGGCTCGAGGCCGCGCCCCCGCTCGCCGGCGTCACGGAGGTGCTGCCGGCCTACGCGTCGCTGCTCGTGCACTTTGACGCCACGACGACGACCGCCGGCGCCGTCGAGGCCTGGGCCGCGGCCGCGGGCGACGGAAAAGCGGGCGAGGAGGCGACGGAGGACGCGCGCGTCGTCGAGATCCCCGTGAACTACGGCGCCGAGTACGGCCTCGACCAGGCCGAGGCCGCGGCGATCGCGGGGCTCGCTGGACCCGCGGAGGTCGTGGAGAGGCACGCCGCGGGCGACTACCGCGTCTTCTTCCTCGGCTTCACGGGCGGCTTCCCGCGGCGAGCGGCGTCAAGTCTACGGACGCACCCCTTTCCGACGCTCCGCCCCCCCCCCGCAGGTACCTGGGCGGCCTCGACGAGGCCCTCAAGGCCGTGCCGCGGCTGACGACGCCGCGGCAGCTCGTGCCGCGGGGCGCCGTGGGCATCGCCGCGGGCCAGACGGGCGTCTACACGCTCGACACGCCCGGCGGCTGGCACCTGCTCGGGCGGACGCCCGCGACCCTCTTCGACCCGGCCCGGGACCCGCCGGCCCTGCTCCGCGCGGGCGACCGCGTCCGGTTCGTGCCGAGCGACGCCGCCGTCGAGGCCGGCGCCGACGCCGACGAGGGCGACGCGCCGGCGCCGGACTGCGGCTGGGTCGAGGTCCTCGAGCCCGGCATGCTGTCGACGGTGCAGGACCTGGGCCGCCGGGGCTACGCGCAGCACGGCGTGTCGCGGAGCGGCGCCGCGGACGACGCGGCGCTCCGCGTCGGCAACGCGCTCGTCGGCAACGCGCCGGGCGCGCCGGGCCTCGAGGTCGCCATGGGCGGCCTCAAGCTGCGCTGCGTCCACGCCTGCCGCGTGGCGCTCGCGGGCGCGGACACGGGCGCCACCGTCGTGCGCGACCTCGGCTACGGCGACGTCGAGACGCTCGACGCGGCCGTCGGCCGGACGCTCGCCCTGCGGGAGAACGACGAGCTGCGCCTCGGCTTCGCCGGGGACGGCGCGCGGGCCTACGTCTGCGTCGCCGGCGGCGTCGACGTCGACGAGGTCCTCGGGTCCGCGTCGACGGACCTCCGGGCCAAGCTCGGGGGCTTCCGGGGCCGCGCGCTCCGCTCCGGCGACGTCGTCGGCCGCGGCGGCGCGCCGGACGACGTCGACCGCGTGCCCATGCTCCGGGCGGCGACGGACCTCCTGCGGGGCGACGCCGACGGCGACGGCGCGGCCGCGGCGGCGAAGACGTGGACGCTGCGCGTGCTGCCCGGGCCCGGCGACCCGGGCACCGACGACGGCTCGCCGGGATTCGCGGGCGACGTCGGCCTGCTCACGGCCGCGGGCGCCTTCGAGGTGCTGCCCCGGTCGGACCGCATGGCCGTCATCGTCGGCCGCGTCGACGCCGACGAGGCGCCCCTGCCCGGGGGCCAGCAGCTCAGCGAGGCCTGCGTGTCGGGCACGGTGCAGCTCCCGCCCGACGGCAACCCGGTCATCCTGCTCGCGGAGCACCAGACGACGGGCGGCTACAAGGTGCCCGGCGTCGTCATCGCCGCGGACCTGTGGCAGGTGGGCCAGATGCGGCCCGGCGACGCGCTCAGATTCGTCGAGACGACGCCCCGGGACGCGCGGAACGCGCTCGCGCTGCTGCGCGCGCGCTGCCGCGAGACGGCGCCGCTGCCCGTCGACGCGGACAGCGTCGACCTCGCGGCCGTGAACGCGGGCATCAACCAGATGACCTGGCGGGAGGCCCTCGGCGACGCGGGCCTCGCGGGCCGCGGCCCGCTCTTCCGGCCGCGCGCCGACATGCGCGCCGTCGACCTCAACGCGGACGCGGGCGAGGGCTTCGACGACGCCGGGCTCCTGGAGCACTGCACGTCCGTGAACGTCGCCTGCGGCGGCCACGCGGGCACGCCGGCGACCATCGCCGCGACCGTGGACCTCGCCGTCGCCGCGGGCGCGGCCATCGGCGCGCACGTCGCCTACGAGGACCGCGCCAACTTCGGGCGCGAGGCGACGGACGTCGACCCGAACGCGCTGCGGGACCAGGTCCTCGTCCAGGCGTCGACGCTCATCGGCCTCTGCCGCGCGCGCGGCGCGCGCGTCACCTACGTGAAGCCGCACGGCGCGCTCTACCACGCGGTCTGCGCCGGCGGACCCCAGGCCGAGGCCGTCGCGGCGGCCTGCCGCGCGCTCGGGCTGCCGCTCCTGCTCCTGCCGGCGTCGCCCCTCGCGTCCTTCGGCGAGGGCTTCGCGGAGCGCGCCTACGACGGCGACGCGCTCCGGCCCCGCGACCGGCCGGGCGCGGTCATCCACGACGCGGCCGCCGCCGCGGCCCAGGCCGTCGCCCTCGCGGCGCGGCCGGACCTCCACACGATCTGCGTCCACGGCGACAGCCCCAACGCCGTCGCCGTCGCCGCCGCCGTCGCCGCCGCGCTCCGCGACGCGGGCTTCACGCTGAAGAAGTTCCTCTAGGACTCGGTTTTAATCGCGGAATGCAGCGCCGCCGGTCGCGGCGACGCGGCGCCGTCGCCGCGCCATGCGCCATGCGCCATCGGGCAGCCGAATTCGTCGCTTCAACGTGAACTTATTGGCTTTCGGTGCAGCCCTCACGGCGAAGCAGCCCGTCTCGGCGCCCGCGGGAACAAGATGGAGCTCCCGGATATCACGGGCGCCGCGTGCGTGACCCCCGCGACCCCCTGGTTCGGCGCGGAGCCCCCCCCGGCGGGATCGGGGACCGGGCGGAAGAAGCGCAAGCGCCGCCCGGCGCCCCCGTCGCGAGCGATCCCCTCGCGGGAGATTTTGGTCGTCCTGGCGTCGGGGCCGGGGGACGGCGCCCTCGGCTGCGTCGGGGGCGGCCAGGGGTCGGCCGGTTCGGGGGGTGGGGCCCCCGGGGCCATGGCGAGCTACGCCTACAGCGCCCAGCTCGTGCGCGGCGGGCGCGTCGTCGAGTACGTGCCCGATTGCGCCGCGTGCCGCGGGAAGCACAGTCGCCACGTCTGCGGCAAGATCCACGTCAAGATCCGGCGACCGAACCCCAAGATCAAGTACGAGGCCTGCGACGCGTGCCGAGGCCGCCACACGGCCCACGTCTGCGGCCGCGGCCGCGGCCTCCGACCGCTCGCGCCGCCGCCCGTCCGCGTCGTCGAGGAGCGGCCGCCGAGCGACGGCGGCGGCGGCGGCGGCACGGCCTACTGTTCCGTGTGTCTCTGCGACGTCGACGTGGCGCGCATGGTGCCCCTGGACTGCTCCCACAAGCTCTGCGTCGAGTGCTCCGCGGGCTGCGGCGCCAAGGCCAACGGCGGCGTCCAGGTGCGGTGCCCCCTCTGCCGCGAGCCCACGCGCCTCCGCCTCGCCGACCGCAAGCGCGTCGTCTGCCTCATGGCCCCGCCCGCCTTTCAGGCCGCCTGAGGCGCCGGAGGCGCATGTTTTAAACTGCATGTTTGCCCCTGTCCTGCCGCACTTCGCCAAGTCCACAGCCAAGGCCGCCAGACACTTCGACAGCCGCGCGCCGACGAAGGCCGCCAGACACTTCGACAGCCGCGCGCCGACGAAGGCCGCCAGACACTTCGGCCGGCGCGCGCGCGACGATGGCGAGCTTCTTCGACTTTGCGTCCTGGTTCGGGCCCGAGCTCCGCAGCGGCGCCGACACGAAGCCGACGTCGCAGGTGCTCGGCGGCAAGGCCGTCGTGGGCCTCTACTTTAGCGCCCACTGGTGCCCGCCGTGCCGCGGCTTCACGCCCAAGCTCGCCGCGCTCTACGAGGCGCTGGTGGCCGCGGGCGAGTCCTTCGAGGTCGTCTTCGTGAGCTCGGACCGCGACGACGCCCAGTTCGACGAGTACTACGGCGCGCACCCCTGGGCGGCCGTGCCGTTCGCGAACCGCGACGCCAAGGCCGCGCTGTCGCGGAAGTTCAAGGTCCAGGGCATCCCGACCTTCGTGCTCGTCGACGGCGAGACGGGCGAGCTCATCACCGCCGACGGCCGCGACGTCGTCCTCGAGGACCCGTCGGGCGCGGGCTTCCCCTGGCGGCCGCCGTCGCTGCGCGACGCGCTCGACGCGCTGCCGCCCCTCGAGGGCAAGGGCCCGGGCGGCCCCGGCCCGACGTTCGGGAGCCTGCCCGGCCCCGTGCTGCTCTACTTCAGCGCCCACTGGTGCCCGCCCTGCCGCCAGTTCACGCCGCAACTCGTCGCGTTCTTCTCGAGGCTGAAAGCGGCGCACCCCGCGGCGTCGCTCGTCTTCGTGAGCAGCGACAAGAGCGAGCACGAGTTCGCCGAGTACTTCGCGGACATGGGCGACGAGTGGCTCGCCCTGCCCTTCGCCGCGCGCGGCGCCAAGGACCGGCTCTCGCAGCTCTTCGGCGTCAGGGGCATCCCGTCGCTCGCGCTCGTGTCCGCGCCGGCGCCGGGCGGCGACCGGGCGATCGTCGCGCGGGACGGCCGGACCTGCGTCCTCGAGGACCGCGTCGCCGACTTCCCGGCGTCCTGGGCCCCGGCGCCCTGGGGCGACCTCGCGAAGACCGTCGAGGTCAAGGGCCACGACGTCAACTCGTGCAGATCCCTCGTCGTCTTCGCCGAGGCCATGGCGGACCCGTCGGCCGCCATCGGCGCCCTCAAGGCCCTCGCGGCGAAGCACGCCGCTGTCGACCCGCCGGAGCTCCTCTTCTTCTTCGCCGAGCTCCCGGAGGGGCCCGTGGACAAGGTCCGCGAGCTCTGCGGCATCGCGGGCCTCCAGGGCAGGGCCGAGACCGCGGACCTCGTCCTCCTCGACATCCCCGACGACGGCGGCTTCTACCTCCGGGAGAAGGTCGCGTCCGTCGACGTCGCGGCCCTCGAGGCCTTCCTCGCGAGCCCGGGCGACCGCAAGCAGCTCGAGGCGGGCTAGGCGCCGCCGCCCCGCGCCCTCGACGTCGACGTCGCCCTAAGCATGCGCCTCACTCTGGCGAACGTTGTTCTTCTCCTTTCTTCGGGAGAGGGGTGCCTTGCGTCCGGCGGGCAAAGTCAGCGCCGGGAGCGCGCGAACAGATCCCGCCGGCCGTCCGGCGCCAGTGAGAAGGGCAGGAACGCTCACGAGTGGCGTGCATCGCAACAGACGCCCTCGAGAATCGGCCCGCGCGCGACTTTTACCTCGAGGGCGCGCGCCGCCTCGCGGACCGCGCCGCCCTCGCCACCCTCACGACCAACCTGCCCTGTCGCCGGCAAGACGGGTTCGCAGCGATGGGCCGCGTCTCGGGACCTCGCCGAGGCAGGCGTGAGGGGCAGGCCAGGATTGAGGCGACACGAGATAACCGCATGCTCGAAACACGCATGGGCGCATCACTTTGAAGCGCTACAGATCTCAGAACTCACGCGCGCGCGCGGCGCCGCTTCACCCCTTCTCACTTGAAACTTCCCTCCGGGCCAACCCAGAGCCACTCCCGGCGGGGCCCCGCAAAAACTGGGCGAGGGGGGACGCCGTAGACGTCGAGGGGGGACGCCGTAGACGTCGAGCCTCGACAAAACGGTCGAGCCGGGCGCGAGAGCGGGTCGCGCGCCGCGCCGGCGCCCGGGGCCTCGCCCGGCACCCTCGGGGAGACGTGGGAGGCCCCGCCGATGGCCTCGACCGCAATCATCGGGACCCCCTGGGCCCGGGCTCGCGGCGGTCCGTCGATACCCCTCAGCGCGCCGCCGGGCGGGCCCCGCCTTCGCGCCGCGCCTTCGGCCGGCCTCGCCCCCGCCCCTCGTCGCGGGCGTCGGCGGGACCGGTCCACCCCGGAACACGTCGCCGACGAGGGCGGCTTCGGCCGGCCCGCGCGCTCCCGCTCGGCCTCCGCGATCGGGTCGGGCGCGCGTCAGGCCGTCTTCGGCGGCGCCGGGCACGACCGCGCGGCCGTGCCCGGCGACGGGGCCGCGATGCCCCGTCGCCCGCGACCCGTCGCCGGCGGCGCGGACCGCTCGCGGCCCGCACGCCGGAGGCCGTCGCGGAGGAGGTCGTCGCGCAGGCCGAGGCGCTCGACGTCGCCGACGCGTTCGCGGACGTCGTCGTTATCGGCGGCGGCGGCGACGCGGGCGCGGTCGTCGGCGCGACGACGACGACCGCCGGCTTCGCGGCCGGCGGCGGCGATACGGGGAAGGAGGACCCCTGCAAGAAGAAGAAGCTCGAGAAGAAGAAGAAGTGCCTCAAGTTCGAAAAGAAGGGCCAAACGCTGTGCCAGTGGGACGAGACGAACAAGTGCCACTCGAAGACGTGCGGGTCCAACGCGGAGAAGAAGCCCTGCAAGAAGGCGGGCGGCTGCGAGTGGAAGAAGGGACAGTGCGTGGCCTCCTCGGGAGTCTCCTGCAAGAAGCAGAAGAAGGAAAAGAAGTGCACCAAGGCCGGCTGCGCGTGGGACGCGAAGAAGGAGAAGTGCGCGGACTCCTCGGGAGTCTCCTGCAAGAAGCAGAAGAAGGAAAAGAAGTGCACCAAGGCCGGCTGCGCGTGGGACGCGAAGAAGGAGAAGTGCGCGGACTGCGCGAAGCAGAAGGAATATTGGAAGGAATCCAAAAAGTGCAAAAGGCGGGCTGCAAGTGGAAGAAGAGCGAGGAGAAGTGCCTCGCCAAGAAGAAGTAGGCCTCCCTAAGTAGACTAACATCTTTCCGAGGAGTCTCTACCCGCGGTTGTCCGAGTCCGAGCGCAGCACCGGCGGGTAGTCCGCGTCCGCCGATGCGTCCAGCACCATCTCCATGTCCCGCGCCGCCTTGATCTTCGCTCGCACGAGCGGCAGCTGTTCCTCCGCGTGCTTGGTGTCGACGAGCGCCCGGTGCGGCTTTAGTGGGCCCCCCAGTGCCCGCGTCCGCCCAAGGCAGGCGCGTAGGCGGGGTGCGTCGCCTAATGCGCTTGAGAGAGAGCGCCTTTTACGCCTGTTTTCCCGCTATTCGGCGAGCTAGTTTTAGCATATTGGCCGACACTTTGACCGACACCGGTCGCGGGCCGATGGCCAAGGCTTCTTTCGCGGCGGCCGCAGCGCTCGTCTTGCTATGCGTCATATGCGCACGACCCCGCCGCGACGCCCAAGCGTGTGGAGCCGCGTCATCGGCTCGCGACCCGGTGACGCGTCGCGGCGGCTCGCCGTCGCCCGACTCGACAACGCGACGCTCGCGCGCGCGTTCAACCTCGCCGACGAGGTCGCGCACCGCCGGCCCTGCGAGCTGCACAAACACGGACGCACGTTCGCGCCCACGGACGTCGTCGCCCTCGCGATCGCGCGCGCGGCGTCGGAGTCCGTCGTCAAGGCGACGACTTCCGCGAAGCTCCAGTGGCACAGCCTCCACCTGCACGAGTCGGCGTCCTGTGGCCATGACGATTTTCGAGAGATTTCGGCTGGGGAAACGATGAAATATCGTTACCGTCATGCTTGGTAGGCACGAGTGCGCGCTCGCGGACTGGGCGGCGGCGGGCGCGCGGCGCGTCGTCGTGTCGCTCCGCGACCCCGTGTCGCGGCTCGTCAGCGGCTTCCAGCGGCGCATGGAGGGAGGCGCGCCCACGGCCGCGAACCGCGCCTTCGCGCGCGAGTTCCCGCGGCTCGACGCCTACGTCGACGCGCTCTTCGCGCCGGCGGACCCGCGGCACGCGCTCGCGCTCGAGATCACGTACCCGGACAAAAATCAGAACTTCCTCGTGCCCGTCGAGGAGTTCTACCTCGCGTCGCTCGACCGCGGCGCGCCGCGCGACGCGCGCGAGGTCGCCGTCGACGTGCGCTACGCCTGCATCGAGTCGCTCGACGACGACGTGGCCGCGATCCTCGGCGCCTGGGGGCGCGCGCCGAACGCGAACGCCCGCAAGAACGCGACGAAGCACCGGTCCCGGAACGCGTCGGACGCGCCGACGACGCGCCACCGCCTCATCAGCGACGGCAACGCGGCGCGCGTCGAGGCGCTCTACGCCGCGGACGCCGCGCTCCACGCCCGGCACTGCTCTGCGGACCGCGGCCGCGAGCCCGGCGGCGAGACGTTCCGCTACAGGACGCCGCGGTAAGTCGCGCGCCGTCGGTTAGGGCCTCCCCGGGGCGCCGCCGACGAGTTCGGCGGCCTTGTCCGGCGATTCGACGAAGCGGACGGGGTCGTCCAGGTCCCCGAGTCCCGGCGCGCGGACGAGGCCCGAGTCCAGGTCCCCGACGAGGCCGCTGACGGTGCGCCCCCAGCCGGAGACGTCGACGTCCGCGACGTCGACGGCGTCCTCGCGCGCCGCCGCCGAGTCCGCCTCGCGCCAGGGCGCGGGCACCTCCGCGCGCGGCGCCGGGTCGATGGGCCGGAACGCGGCGACCGCGGCGCTCCGCTCCGCGCGCGACGGCTCGAAGACGGGCTCCGGCGTGTCGTCGTCGCGGTCGTCGGGCGCGGGCAGCGCCGCGACGCCGTCGCAGTCCGGCGACTCGAAGTCGTAGGAGTCCGGCGAGTCCGGGGGCGTGCCGATGGGCGTCCAGCTCGGCGGCGGCGGCGGCCTCGGCCTCTCCGGCGCGTCCGGCGGCGCGGGCCGCGCGCTCCAGCGCGCGCAGCAGCCCCGGTCGCGCACGGTCCGCGACTCCGGCGCGCCCGAGTCGAGGCTCGAGAGCGTCGTGTCGCGCGCGCCCTCGGACGACGACCCGAGCGACCCGTCGACGGAGCCGCCCGCGCTGAGGCGGCCCGCGATCGCGAACGACGTGCGGCGCACGCGGTCCGCGAAGGACTTGACGCGGTTCATCGACGCGTCGCTCGCGCGCCGCAGGTCCCAGTGCAGGCCCATGGACGTGTTCTCGGCGTCCTTGCCCGTGACGAGGAGCGCGAGCCACGTGCACGCGAGGTAGACGACGCGCCCCGTGTTCGTCAGGAGCGCGCCGAGCGTCGCCCCGAGCGTGCAGGGCGGCTGGCTGCAGCGCGCCGTGGACGCGGCGAACTTGTAGGCCGCGTAGGCGAGGCCGAGGGACGTCGCGCCCGTGATCGCGACGAGGTAGCGGTGGCAGCGCCGCCGGAGCAGCGCCGTCTTCGACGGCTGGC